CAAAATATTTTACGTTACTCAGAATTTTAAAAATCTAAAAATATAATATAGTGTGCCATTTTGTATCAAAGACAATTGACGGTTTTATAGTTGCTTAAGTCATGTGTCTATATTTTTTTCGAAACTATGACGTAACAATTTGTTTAAGTATAAATAAATACTCTTAAAATGTACAGTGTCACTTATCAGTACATTTGCTAACTGAATAATAATAATGTACTGGTATACATTATACTCGGCTGCATAGCGTATCTGATTATTACAATGCTATATTTATTTCAGATTTATTATTATTTATTCACAATAATTTCATAAGATATAAGTGTATTATGTATAAATTATATAATAATTACATATATTATATACAATTCTCAATAAATAACTAGCACAGCATAAAATAAATAGAGACTACACAATCCATAATTTTAGTCATGTTAAGCAACATTAACCGACCAAATTTAAATTTAATTGTTATTCAAACATCTTATCTGCACTTTACACAGTTCAATATATTTTTTTTTTATTTCAAATGTTAACTCAAGAGATTATCATAGATATTTTACTTTAAATTAAAAAATAAAATTGTAATTTTTTTATAAGACCCAATACAGCGATAAATAATTTTAAAACATTTGAAAATATCGTGTCGTTTAATATTATTATATTTTAGTTAAAAATATTTAAATGAGTTATATTTTATTAATATCACTTTTATTGGTGATCAATTTCAGTATGTAGTGAAGCTCAGATTATTTTTAAAGTGAATTGAATTGTTAAACAATTTCTATATTAGTTTTTTTACAATTTGAAATATGTGATGCTCCTGCTATTTGACATTTAACAAGTTAGTGTATCTCGAGATCACATATTTTCAAGTTCTAAATAAAGTTTTAAAAAAAGACTATTGATATTTTCAATTCATGAAAAATAACTATTCATATCTTGTATACGTAGTTTTTCAATATAGTATATATTTTATTCATTTTATTGAAGCATTCAAAATTTATTTCAGATTAAAACTTTTGTTTCATAGTTTAACGTAACAAAGTTAAGTATTAACTGAAACTAGGCATATGATTTATGAGCTATAAGCCATTTAAAATAGAAAAATAATTTCAAGATCGTTAATAAATGTTTAGCAAAAAAATAAAAATTAGCTGTTAGTTATTTTACTATGATTTATTGCTTAGAAATTGTTTTAATGAAATAATAATCTTGCAAAATATTAGTTAATATTGGTTTTTTTTTTAATATTTAATAATTTAAATTTTTAAGCAAATAAATAAGAAAAAAAAATTGTCGAAGTACCAATACATATTCTTTTACAAATTTAGCAATAAAATTATTGAAAACTTGAAAAATAATATCTAAATTAAAAAAACTCTTTATCGTTTATCATCGGGTAAAATTAAGTGTTGGTAAATATAAAAAAAATGGTATGTTTATATGTACTTAAAAATAAATTAAATAAAAGCATGGAATATGAAGTTCAATAATCATCAAAAAGATGCAATTTCTGTTTTGTTATTATTGTATCACTCGCATTCCACAGAAAGAACAAATACACGATTGATACTTGAATACATATATGTTTTGCAAATACATGATTACAATAATATGCAAACTATATTCAAAGATATTCTATACCCTAAAAATGATATGCCACATAATAATATTTTGTTCATGCCAATTTTTTTTCAGAATTCCCATTAAAAAACGATATAAAGTTTCAAATATTATGCAAACATCAACATTGAATATTAAATAATTAAAAATGCATTATTATTGTTTTTAATTAGTTCAATCGAATAAAATGTTTGAAAAAAAATTGGGTAATTTTCTAAAAAAAAGTAGGTAGTTGTAAATATAATACCATTCATGATATGTTATAAGTTGTAACACTATACATTTTAAGAAATCAAAAATATTATATGAGTAAATTCTTTAATTTGTATCAAATAAAGACATCAAAAACTGAACAGTATCGTAGATTTAACCTGTAACGTCATCAATGTAAATACTTCAACAGTAAGCACGTGTAATTAAATTAAAAAAATATAAACTGAATTAAAAAAATTATTTTAATTGTGTTATTTACTTATTTTTATTATAAATCTAAATTTAACCAATTTTAACGTATTTAAATTAGTATTTACCATTACAACTAACAAGTTTTTTTTAGATATGAGAATTAAAACGGTTATTAATTAATTTAATTATTTCTGCCCAAAAAAAAATTATTCCCATTAAATAACGGAGAAATTTTGGTGGATTGAACAAACTAATTTTATACTGTCTTTCTTATCCTTTATTATTTCCTCTATAAGGCAGTATATAAATATATAGAATTTCCAAAATGATATTTTTAAAAAACCTTTCATCAATTTTACTTAGGCCGTATGTATTTTTCTTTAGACTTTCTCATTCAGTTATGTTGTTCTCAGAAACCTGACACTTGGTACATTTACTTATCATCCATGACAATATACAATCTATTAAAATCTTCAGTTCTTTGGTGTAGCGCACTCTATTATCAAAACTACTTTCCAAGAGAGCTAAAAATTGAAATACTAATTCATATGTGTGGTAATCATATGACAGTAAATTTTTCTATTACTAAAACCACAGAATTAAATAGCACTCGAGTATCGAATCGATAATGGACATAGTTATTTATTTAATAAGTCATAATTATAATTTATAACATTTTTATTACTTTATAACATTTATATTTATTAATTATAGTATATCTACACAGCCATCTTAAATGTATGATTTCCTAGTTTTTTTTTTCGAAAAATAAAACTTAAAATATTAATCATTAATATGAGAAAATTTAAAAATTTAAATTTAAATCTAAGAAATATTATTTTTCTAAAAATTATAAAAATAAGATTGCTTACTGTTATTATGATATTGTTAAATATAATAGTATTATAAATTGAACTTAGAATCAAAAGCAAAATATACCTGCTAAGACTAAACTTGTTTTTCTGTTAGGAAATTGTTAGTTTAAATGTTCAAAGATTCATATTTTTTATTTTTTTAAATAATTTTAATAGCTAAATAGTTTTTAAACTATTATATTTTATAAATATTATAATTACATATTAAATGATGGAAAATTAAATTTTCAATATTATACGTAATCTAGACATCAAGTTATTTGTAAGGTAGCTTATATTATCTTCTGTAAACGTTTATGGATTGAATAATAAATATTAAATAAACATTATTATATTAATATTAAAATTTAATTTCTTTTTTTAACTTTAAATTTATTTGTAAATTTATATAGGAATACGAATTAAGTGTGAACTAATAAATAATTTAAAAAAAATACATTATTATAAAGTGTTCATTATTCAAAGAATCTAATAACAACACTAATAACACATGCTTACATTGTTTTATATAACACTTAATAATATTAAACTAAAAATGAATCAATATTAACTTATTTCACATTTTTTTCAATATTTCTAACTATTTAGAATAAATGGATTTCATAGGATTCTTTTGTATTCTATTAGTGATTTTAGTCTTTAAAAAAAAAATCAGAATTACTAGTCGGACAAAATAATGTTGAGTTAAAGTAATAAAATATAATTCAGCATACGTGATAAACGAAAATAATATAATAGCAACGTGTATTAAGTAATCATTATATAATTTTGATCGTCGGCAATCAGTTAAGTTATAACCTTTTATACATTTGCATGTCAGTAAATTCACTGTTTGGCACTTACTCGATGTCGTCACACGTCGGTAAATCGAAAATATCACCCAATTTGTAGTAAAACACCAAGCGTTATGTAGGTCATAAGTAAACAAACATTTGAATTCTCTATTCATATTTTTCGTAGCAAGTACGTTAAATAACATTTTATTACTGCAATATTATTTTTAATGTAAATAGACACGAATTAATGAAAACATTTTGTTTAAAAAGTTAATTTTATAAAAATAAATCAACTTTTGATATACTTTTAAATATAACTTTAAAATTTACTGTAACTATAAAAGTCGGACAACCTACAATACTCTGCATAGTTACATTAAACATAAACAAAACAGAGGAAATCGCTCTGTACTATACAATAATACAGTCAAACGGTGTAGACTAACTATTTTTGTCATTAGAGCTTCAAATGAATATAAATATTTTAAAAACATTATTATGCATATATAATAATAAGTAATAACGAAGTTTCAAATCTTTTCGTTATTATTATATAAATTAAAAGATAATTTACAATAAAACCATTAAACGAAAATCGCTGTTTTTGTTTAAAAATAATTTATTGTAAAGATAAAAACTCTAAGAGTTTTTAAAAATGTTGCAAGTTATTTTTAATATTTTTCAATTTCTAAGAGAATAACTTATAAAAATTTACGAAAAGCATTGTAGTATATTTTTAAAATTGAACTATTCAAAATTAACAATCGAAATATTTTTAGTTTTTTCTGTTCAAAATGATATATTTCATAATGTATAAAAAAAAAACACAAAAAATAAAATACCATAATTATGAAACTAATATACATTCATCGTCTAGAATACAATCTAAAACAAATAATATTTTAAAAAGTTGCCGAAGGCCCTAAGTATTATAACAAATTAAATTGGTGCTAATTTTTTATGAATAGAGTTTTTATTTTCTGTTATACTGTCACACATTAAAAAAAAAATAATGGTTAATCTACCAAACTGTGATTGTACCAATTTTAGACTCAAAATATAATCAATATTCAGTATAAAAATATACGTAAACCGTAGTAATTATTCACCTCACTTAATTATTAAAAAAGTAGAGTATGAATTTTTAATTATACATATTATACTCGTAATAAATTATTATTTTAATTTAAATTAAAAATTTTAATTAGAATTAATTAGTTTCATAAATTTCCCAAAATTGTACTCAAATACTTATAATAACTTCAATACGTAAGCTTTATGTAAATATAATTGAATAGTAAACAAATTTAATACTTACTCAGCTTCTTCAACTGAATCTGTTTTTGCTAGGAAGACACAATTGAGCAATATAGTGGTCATAACCACATAGTCGAATATTTGATTAGTAGAAATGTATATGCACAGTTGCCGAAACGAGTTCCAAGGGGAAAACAAAAAGAAAGACTGGGTGGCTGTGAAACGGTGTATATAATTCTTCCGAAATCTTTTGGATACCACGCAAAAGGTCTAGAAAAAAAAAATAAATAAAAATGATAATAAAATAAAATAATATTTCATTTACAATATACATACAATTATAACTACAGAAATAAATACAATTCATACTTTGTATTAGTATTTTTGTATTTATTACGGTAGATAACTTCACTCAATGGCGGGATACTTTTCATCTGCATATTAAGAGGAAGGATTTAATGTTTATACCAAAAAACACCCTAACCAAATAATAAATAACACAAACTACAAAATACTAAATAGAAATTTACTCATTTGTTATTGTTACCAAATACCAAACATTACATTGGTACATACTGAATATTAATCATATCATATGTTATCAAACAATGAACGTTATATTTTGTACAATGTTACGCCACTATTTTAAATTCCACGTTCAAAATAATTATCACACTGATTATATCGTAATAATTAATGTATTTCAGTTATATGAATTTAACCTAAAACCATAATAGGCTCGTTGAAAAGCTTATAACATAGTGTTATCTTGTGTTCACTGTAGCCGTGATACTAGTATTAAAATTATAATTAATAATTTTATATTTTAATTTTTGATACCAACATAATTAAACGTAAAAAAATTGTTAATATCTACTCAACTAATGAACCGTGACTCCGGTTAAGTGATCAATATTCTTCTCGGGCAGTATTTAGACATCATAATGTTCTAGGAAAATTATGGAAATATTTTAAGAATTTAATTGTTAATAAAATATTTTATTAAATTTTTTGGAATATTCTAAATTCCAAATGATTTCAGTCTTATATAATTTGAATAGGTAATTATATATATATTAAAATACAATGACACTGGACGGTTTATAAGTATATCGTATATGTAGTTAAATAAATAATGTACATGTAACTACTGGCACTTAACAATATCGAAAAATCTCTTCTCTAATAGGTGTTTGACTATTTCATAAACATATCAAAAGGTAGCTATAATATTAAATAATCCAAGAAAAATTTGAGATGAATCCAGTTAAATTAGGTCAAATAAACAATCGGTTGTGTAAAACTACAGTGATTTAGTTATGTTATACAGTCATATACTGCAGTGTATGTAAAACAGTGAACAATGGTTTACATAATAAACACCACCTGATATCTAACTGCCAACGTATATACGCAAACCACATATAAGTCTATTCTAACTTAAAGTATATGACTCTGGAGGATCACGGTTTTTCGGTCGTTTTTTTTGTAATTTAAAACAGATTATTTTCATAAGCCTGAATCATTACAAAAACAATAAAATTAATAGCAAAAAAAACATGATATAAAATTAAAATAAATCTATACGAATAATAAAAAATTAATATACACCACAAGATCATAAATTTCTTAAATTTGAGAGTGACCTGTGTAAATACGGAACTCCAAATATTTATGTCATCCTTAGGCCGTTTGTTGTCACTTTAATTAGTTATATCCAAGTACCACTAGCACAAGAGGGTCGGTGTTAAAGGAACATTCTTTAATCCCTGTTTTAACCCTAATTTGTCCTAATTCGTCAAATGTGCTAGTTAAGTTTATGATTATCCCATGACATTTCATCATTATTTATCATATGAAACTGCAATAATACACATAGGTACATGCATATTAAAAATACATGAATAGGTTAAGAAAAATAATTTCAACTAGCCCTATTGATTTATTTACCGTCCAAAACTTTTTACAATTATTACGTTTATGAATATTGTAATAATTTATATATAAGTTTATATTAAAACAAAAATTTTTAACATCTGAATTTAAGATTATTGTAAACTCAAATCATATATTCATGCACTTAATAAATGAAAAAGCTTCTAAAACAATAATGATTATTTTTAATTTTATATAATTTTCATGAAGTCTTATATATAGATGATTATTAATTTAAAAATAATCAATAAAGACAATTGAATGCAATAATTTTATTTTGTTTTAAAAGATATCATCGTCAAAATTGATTAATTCACAAACTATAAATCATCATAAATTACGGTAAAATTTAGTTGATACCTACCAAAACATCTTAAATACTTTACCGCTTGTGAGTGTAATATAATTTACGTCCTCCTAAGTTTTAATATAGCCCACCCGATGTTTTAATATACATTTTGTACTAAATAAGTATTAAATTTTCAAAGTTTAATACAACTAATTAAGAATATAAAAAAGAAATAGAAATGGAAAACGAGAGTATATTGGGTCATTGTGGAAGAAATCGGAGTTTTATAAAAATGTATTTTACATCTAAATAAGTTCATTCAAATTGATAAAGATTTTAATAAAATAAATGATTGATTAAAGTTATTCTTTGATTTTTTCGATCTTTTTCAAAAACGACTGACAATTGGTCAAATTATTGAATTTCTAACGAACTAAATAGCTACTTGTAAAAGTAAAGAATTTATTGATATGTCTACAAAATGCTTAATTAAAAAATAAATGCATGACAATAGTACTAAAACCTTTTTCATTCCAAATAAAATCTAAAATTAGTAAATATAAAAACAGTTAATTAGTTCACTTATAGAAATGTTCTGAAAAAAAAAAAGAATACAAAAATGTATTACTTCGGCAATAACTTTAATATTAACCGTTAATTAAATATTGCGCGGGTGATTGAGGCATCAGTGGTCGACTAATTTTTTTAAATTTTAATCTATAAAAACAAATAACTCTAAAAACAACATGATATTGCAGCACCAGCATATGCGCAATCTCAAAAGTAAAATAATACAATTTAATAGTTTATATATTATCATTAAGTTATAGTGTATACACATTTGGTTATTTTCTTGAAGATAATTATAAACATCATGGGATCAATATGAACGATATTACTTTTATATAAGTAAGTTTGTTCAAATGATCAATTATAATACAACTTAAGTCAATACTACATTTCAAGATTTATTGTCACCAAATCAAATCGTATTATTAAACCTGAATTATTTTAACAGGCTTTTTTTCTACAAGTAGGTACACTAATTAACTTTAAATAATTTGATACAATTTCTTTAGTTATATGGATATTATAATGTGTTAAAGTGTACATTTTTTAACATAAAAATACTTATTACTATTGTGTGACTGTTAAACTGAATATTTCCTGACATAATTTAGAGTTTATATTAAGTTAAGATTATATTTAAAACTTAATTATTTTTAAACTTGTATCATCGTCAAAGTAAGTTATTTTATATGATAACCTAATTAATTATCGTATCATCTAAATTTTTTTTTATAAAAGTTAAAGAACCGCTTAAGCACAACAGACAGTAACAGTAAAACAGACATAATATCATAGTAAATATTGTTTTGTTATTATTTGTAACTGTTTATATATAATAAGATCCCAGATACTTAAATATTTATTAATAAAAAAACTATTATTGTTAATTATCTTAATATTAAATTTCAAACTACACATCACAAAATACTTAATTTAATTAGTAAAACAAATGAAACAGTTTGCTAAAGGTGTGTATTAATTTTCAAATTCATGAGCTATTGTAATTTAAAAAAGATTTCAAGTAGTGCTCATTTGTGAATGAATAAATTATTATTTTTTAAATGCTTAAAAACATAAAAAGTACATAAATTTAATCATGGTTTTCAAATATTTTAAGACATGTATAAGATGAGTATAGGTATCATTAAAAAATAGTATTTCAATTACACAAATTGGCTGCAATAAAAACAAATGTAATGTCGTGAATACATCTTACTGCATCACTAAAGTTTAATTATTTATAGTTGACGGATAATTAAAATGAAAGACACATAAATATTTATGTTTATTACCAAATTGTTTAAAACTAATCATTATAATTTCCATTACCTTTCATATAGATCTTGGTATATAATAATAATAATAATAATAATAATAATAATAAGATTTTTTACTGCGGAAAAGAATTTCCAATTTATATATTAAAAATATAAGACAGTTATATATTGCATATATAATATACTGTAAGTATATATATTTTTTTAATACTAATTTAATTTTATACGATGCTCGAATTTCGAATCCATAAAAACATAACTTTTATTTTAGTTAAAACGATATTACGAGATTATGGTAAAATATATGTATATTTTTCGTAACTTATCATATTATGATAATTTTTTAACGGTATGTTTATTTGCTCTTTTAAAATTAATAAAAAAAATATATCATCAATAATTATAAAACCGTAATACAACATAAAACCAATAGATACTTAATAAAATAACTTTAAAATTCATAGTTTTGACTTTTTTTTCGATTCTTTTAGAGTTTTACACTATTACATATATTTATTTATTTACTAAATAAATATCTATTATTATTGTTATTATTATTCAAATAATTAAATAATGAGATAGATTTAGCATATAATGCAATAAATCTATCACTATATATTTTAAGTTTTTATTTTTTTGAGTACTAAAAATCATAATATTGAAGAATTAAAAAAAGTTGTTATTATACAATAACAACATTCTTTCTGTAGGTTATTCATTCATTATGTATACGCTGATTATCAGAGATTACAAAATAAACATAACTATATAATACATGGATCGGAAAAAACAAATACTTTCTCGTATATCATAGAACCTAATCCAAACAACAATAGTTAATATAATTATTACCTAATGATCCAAGGAAAAAGATGACCCTCTTAGTCGAGTTAGTATTATTATTAATATTTCATTGAAATCATTTCAAAAGGAAGGTTTTGAATGTTAATTGCCAAAACTTTTGACCTACCCCTTGAATCATAAATTCTACAAACAACTTTGCCAGTGCGCCGTTTCATTGTGCTGCCGCTGGACTCTAGATGGCCGTGCCATGCACAAGTACAATAGCCAAATAATATTCTGCACTTTTGGGTTAACGACTTGTGAAATTCTACAAATCATAAGCCTTTCTCAATTGGATGGATGGATAAATAAAATTCCAAAATAGATGCCAAAGTGCTTAACTAGTTGGGCGATTT